CATAAAGTAATAACGAGAGAGTCATAGTGAGGGAATGCCAAACCGTTGGTATCTGACTTATCGAATATGATACTTTCTTCGAGTTCATCATACCATTCGTGGGTGATCGACTGTTTGTGCTTGTGGGTTATGGTGAACTTCACGCTGTTAATGGAAGCGTCATCCCCGCCACCGGTGATCATGTCCATAGTGTGGGTTGGCGACGGCGGCTTCGGCTCCCTTGATGTTGTTCGCGTCCCCTGGCGAAGTTAGTCCTTCCCCGATCGCTCAGCAATTCTTTGAGGTGTCCCTGTCGCAGTATGTTTACGACCTCCTATCTTAGGGCGATGCAATCTTCGATTTTGTGTCCTCACCCTAGGTGGAACTCGCAGAAGGCATCTGATTTTCTGGTATTCGGGTCCGACCTCATCTTTTGTGGCCACTTTACCATTGGTCCGAGCTTTTCCAAGGCGTAGACGTTCTCTGTAGGTGATACACAAAAATTGTGAGCGGATAGTAAAGGGGGCATACCTCTCTCATTCTGGTGAGTCCCTGTTCTTGATCGGGGTGTGTCTTATTCATGGCGAGATAAGGATACAGCGGTAGTTCTAACATATGGGAGATGTCATTCCTAGTTTGGCCGTAAGGCTGCTGGATGTCTTTTGATATCAATTCTCCGATCTTTTCTGGATTCCACTTGTACTGAGGTCAGTCGATGAATCGGTCCATTGAGGTTGTCTTCGTCTGCTTTAGACTTCGGCAAAGTACACATTATCTATTTCGTCCCAAGTCGTTGGGGGATATTTCATAAGCCGGCTTAATAATTTTCTTGTCGCCCTTTAACCATTATGTTCAGCCCATTTTGAAAAGCAACTACCGCCCTTACTCAGTTGAAACGGGCGAGGAAGTCCCTCAACCCTTCTCCCGGGGACTGTTTGATAGCAAAGATGTCATTTACTCTTGCCTTGGCCTTCTTGGCCCCGACATGGGCCGTCACGAACTTATCGGTCATTTCCTCAAAGGTTTCGATGGAACGTGCTGGCAATTGCGAGTACCAAGTTAATACACCTCCCGTGAGGGTTTCGCCGAATTTCTTTAGCAGAATGGAGGATACTTGTTCTTTGACGAGGTAATTGCCTTTCACGGCGGTGACGTAATGGGTCACATGATCCTTGGGGTCGGTCGTGTCATCGTATATTTTCACATAAGGCATTTTTTTTAAAGGACTTTAGTATGGCATGTGGGGCAGCGTTATCACTGTATGACTGCTCGACAAACCGATCGACATATCTCTTCGGCAATAACTTAGGAGCGCCCAGTATTTTATCGACCCTTTCTTGGTGCTCTATCATTTGATCCCAAAGTATCTTGTTCTCCTTTTCCATTTCCTCCATTCTTTTTAGAATGGTTGTGAGAGCGTTGTCGCCTGCATTGTTAACAACATTGTGAGTAATACCTGTCGTCGTGGGGTGGAGGAGGCTGATCATGTTGCTCGCCCACTGGTGATGCAACACAGGTTCTCGTCTTTGCTGCGGCCGTGTCTTGAACGGGCTTATGGAGGACGCTGGTTAGTGTATCAGTTAGCCAAGCCTCAAGGAGCTTCTTTATCGCTGGTGGTGTCTCTTCTCCCACGGATGCGGAGGTTGTCTTGCCAAGGGATTTTATGATGCTGCAGTGGGGAGGGGGTCTGGGGGTCATCCACCTCGCCTAGGGGAGGCATTGGGCGTTGTGTCCTCGTCCACTGCTTCAGAGCTTTCATGAATGATATCCATGAGGTTGGTTGGGGGGTCACTCATTATTTTCGCTCTTTCTTCTCTGTTACCTGCGACGTTAGATCTATGCACGCAGAGAGAAGAAGGTTCTTTTTTTTTTTGCGTCAGTAACCAGTGTCGGTTGTAGATCTAGAAGAAGCTAAAAGACTTAGCTAAAAAAATTCTCACAGACGGCGCCAAATTATTTGCCCAAAAAGTATAATTTTCGGTTAAACTATTTAATTTATATAATAATGGATTAAATCTAGTTAAGGATAATAACTTAAGATACTAATCTCTATAACATGCAGTAGGTGAGGACATATCCCGTAAATAGTTGATGACAACAAGTGCAAAACATTGTTAAAGCATGAATATTGATGGAGATATAACTAACAATAAATGGTAATAAATGGCATTTACGTAAATAAGGAGAATGATTCACCCAATAATGGATGGGTTGAATGAATGTTTCTCCCGACAATGATGAGTGACTGATAGATCCAAGATTCGTATGAACAATCCTCGAATTTCATGGAAAGGTGAGAATAATATGAACAAGAATATTTATCAAAAGGTAGTCTTTGTATTCTTGCAAGAGAGAGAGAGAATTTTCTTCTCAAAAGTGTTCTTATCAAAATGAATATTACATGCCCCTATCATTGTTTTTTTTCCTATATATATGATGTCTTTCTTTAGGAAACACTAATAGTACAAATGAAGAGAATATTCATTACAATATTCTCTCTTAATATCATATTCTCACAAATTAGTTGTTACAAGTCTTATCGTCAATAGTCAATCTCGACCTCGGCTCTTGTTGACAATCTCGATTACGACTCATGTCGACATCTCGATTACGGCTCATGTCGGCTCATCAGCCAATGATTTTGCTGCATCTTGGGCGAGCTCGACCGACTCTTTTCTTAATGCCATATTACGCTAAATTTTCTGGGGACGGATTTTGACATATACAATTAGGCAGGGATAAAGTCTGCGTACAGACTACCCTCCTAGATCCTTGGTAATATAGTGGGTATGTTGTTGTTTGAAGGTAAGTAAATTTGAATTAAATCCAAAGTGATAAAGTTGTTCCAACTTTCCGTTTTTCCCTTTCTGTTTTGTTAATCTTTTGTACTATACTCTGCATACTGTAAATGTAGTGGTTCAGCTGTCACCAATCAAAGTGAGACTATTCTACACATTCTTATCCTTTTAAAAATCAATTCCATTGAAATTTGATCGAATTGGGTCGCACACCACATGGCCCCCACGATATAAGACCACTAAGGTTTGTAATAGTAGTAGGCACTGGGTCCCGCTAGATGCTGGGGACCATCTCTAAAAGCTCAACTATGCCTTCTTGATGTAGTAGAAGAAAAGCAATGGCAAAGTGTTCTTCTAAATCAGTATGTGACAGGATAGATATGATTTCTTATTCCCTTTAGAAGTCTCTATCTGTAACCTGAGGTAGGGATGGCAAGCGATGTCGGGCGGGAAAAGTAGGGGCGGGTTCTCTTTTAATCCATAAAATTTTAACTCACCCCGTTTCATATAGTTTTTTTTAATCCGCATCCAGATGTCCCGCACCACACTTGCATTCATCCGCTCCGCTCCGTAATTTTTTTTTCTTTTAAATTTTTCTTATTTTATTTTTGTAATTAATGAACGCGGGATCAGCGCTGAAGAGACTGAATGTCACTGTGTGTGTAGTCAGGAGCGGAGCTACAGTAGTGGGTGCGGGTTCGGGCGAACCCAGCGACTTTTTTTGGAACCCTGTATTTGTATTGAAATATTTACTAAATCTATATAAATATATACTGTCGAACCCAGTAACAAAATGGGTCTTGGTTCAACGGTAAGGGCTGTGGGTTCGCTGGGAAAGATGGTGGTTCGATTCTCGCAGAAAGCAGTATTTTATTTTAAAATTTAGAACTCACACACTTCAAATCACTTCAAATCCTAACTCCGCACCAGTACTGTGTCTTCATTACCATCTTACTACTGTCTCTCTTACAACTTCTAAGCAACTAGGATTTAAAATTTAAGAATTCAAAAGTATAATCTTTATAAGTTATTAAGTTTTTAATTAATAATTTATCTATTTTTAATAAATTTCTTATTATATGTATAAAGTTTTGTCTAAAGCTACTGAATTCTACGGAATCTCGAAACGATACTCTAGCTCAGCTTGCCTATGAGTTGTTTATTTACTACATCTTTTTATTTAACTTATATACACACATAGTCAGAATAAATATTTTACTATCTTAAATTAGAGATTTGTATTATACTTCTTCGGCAAGTGACCTGATTGTTTTTGTCATAATGGAAGAACATTAACTTATAATGTACGAGATTGGATTTGTTAAAATTAAATATTTTTTAGTGAAAAATGTGTATTTAAACTCATACCCGCACCCGCAAAAAAATTATTTTTCTTTTAGTTTAACTCGCCCTGCACTGCACTCGCATATGCATAAATCGGTACTGCCTCGCATATGTCTAAACCCACCCCGTCCCGCCCCATTATCATCCCTAACCAGAGGCTTGAGAGTGAGGTTGAGAATAAAAAAATCTTAATAAGAAAATTTCCCCCACTTAAAGGATCTTAGACAACACGAATCCGAATTAGCCCTTCAATGTAAATATCAGATACAAAGAGTAATTTAAAAAAGAAAAAGCAAATGGGAATCTCTTTTTGGTATTCACCAACCATATTGTCATGTTAATACGTTTCAACACTAAAAGGGCTAATATTCTTCTCATCCCCACATATTAGATTATGTCTATCATCCTACTTAGTAGCATACTAATATCAAACTAGGTAGGCTTATATGTTATAATCACTAACGTGTAGTTTATTGTTTTTTTTTTTTTTGTTTACGTGTAGTTTATTGTACTAACACTCCTAGCTAATTAGTGAAGGTGTTGGACTAATGTGATGTACACACAATGTAAATTGTTGCAAATATTTAGTAATATGACCTCTACTTATATAGTAACATATATTTGTCCTCATTTTTATTTTCATGCTAAAATGTTCAAAATTCTGATGCATGAATACTTTAGGAGCTAGCCACCTTTTTTTACCATTAGCAACTTTTTATCATAATCATAGATTCTCTTGAACCCCTTTTTCTGAAAAAAGAAAAAAACAGCTGTGTGAAACTTCATAGTACTACCTAATCATATCCCTGCAAAAGCCAACCTTTACTCAAACTCACACACTTCCCTCGTCCCCCAACCACCCCACCAGACTACAATACNGTTTACGATATTTTGTTGCGTATTTAAATATCTTGCAAATGAATCTGAATGTCACTCGATGAAACAAATTACTGCACTGATAAATTTCACCCCACTATACAAAATTTGTTCCCCATCAGACATTCTTGGGACTCCTCTTTCTTCCTTATTTTCTCAAGGGATTTCATAAAATTAGGAGTCTTTCCAATTATTCCAGTCCTCAGGACAGTACCAATGAAGTGTAGGAGCTTGTTCATCTGCGAACAGAGTACTACACGATTCCTCACTACTGAAAAAGTTGTGCTCCTCCATTTTTACAAACTGTGGCTGATTATTGCAAAAAACCTTGTCCTTGGCATCCCCAAGAATTGCTTTTGGATTTGAGTCAAAGAATTGGAAGCAATTCAATGATGAATTTGAAGAGGAAGAATTTGATCCTCCATTGTTGGAAATCAAGAAAGCTCCAGATGATGAAATGGCAGCATAATTTGGGCTGTTTTCTTCATTCAAGATTGCACTTGAGTCACTATCTGATGACCCATCTTTGAAATCGGCAAAAATATTGGAGTCATTTATAGTTCCATTTCCACCATTAAAGCTCTCAAAGTTGAGTTCTGTACTATCATCTTCACAATTTCCAAGAGTAGTACTGTTGTTTGGCTTGCTTTGGTCAATATATTTGTCATCAGTTTCAGACTCTATAGCCTCTTCTTTTACATCAGCTTTGCTTTCATTATTTCCCCCATTTTGCTTTGATTTCAGCTCACAAATCTAAAATATGTCAAAATGTAAACAAAATCAATACCAATATTGCAAATATATAATAAATTCATTATCTTGCAGTTTATAAATGGGTGTCGAACAGATGGTAAAAGTTGTGATCAAATGGCCACAAATTCAAGTTACCAAGATAAAGACTTTTGCATATATGTAAAGTAAAATTGTATAAAATAGATCTGATATGTACCGACCCTTCTCTTTAGTCTGCACGTAGCATAATTTTAATGTATTAGATTAGCATTTCTTAAAATTTAGATTTTCCTAAATAAATATTTATCTACACATTTGTCCTCACGAGTCAAAATAGTGAAAGCAGTCTCTAATTCTTGTAATAGGGCAGGCTATCTATGTTACAATCCTTATGATGTAACCCTTCTCCGACACTGTGTGATATAGGATATTTTGTGCACCGGTATATTCTTCTTTTATTTGGTCCATGTCAAAAATTACACTAGTAAAATGTGTTACAAACCTTTAAAAAAAATTAACTAGTGATATTCTTGAATAAAGCTTTATACTTAATGACCTAAAAACCAGTTATACCTCTTTCAAGAGAGCTTCATTGTCATGTTGGAGAGATTCATAGTTATGTTTGAGAGAATCAAAATTGGCTTTGAGAACATTGTAATCTCTCTCCAATTGCTTTGTCTTCCACCGCGCACGGCGGTTTTGGAACCAAATAGCAACTTGTCTTGGTTGCAAACCAAGTTCTTGAGCTAACTTCACTTTCCTTTCAGGATCAAGCTTGTTTTCCACTTCAAAATTCTTCTCTAAAGCCTTCACTTGATCAACCCTTAGCCGCCGTTTCTTCTCCGATCCATGGCCGGATTCTTCCACACAAGCTTCTTCATCTAAGCCTAATTCTAACATGGATTGAAAGTCTCTTGAATAAACTTGACTGTTCCATTGGTGGTGGTCATCTAAAACAAGGACAAAAGAACTTGAGAAAGACATAAAAAAAAGGAGAGCACATGTAAGTAATAAAAATGTGTTGTTGATTTTTATGTATCTCTATAAAAGTTGTACGTAGAAGGGAGCCTTAAAGTTATCCATGTATGATCAATAGGTCACGGGATTAGTCAGGGGTTTGAGTCGTGAAATCAGCCATTATGGTGTCTATAACACATCCTTGCGGGGTGCGACATGCATAAATGCGGGACACTTTGTGTACCAAAATATTTTTTTACTAACGGTTTTATACCATCATGTGAAATTGATGTGAAATTAGCAATTTTTCATGTTAAAACATATTAGGGTAAATATTACTTAGTCAGTGAATATAATCCTAAATTCTACTGTATTTTACACCATCAGCTTAAGGTGACATACAATTATGGAATTAGCTATATATAGTAATTCTGATTAACTAAAATAACCTACTATAACCAATTAAAAAATTTTGATTGCGTAAAAAAATTTAGTACGACAAGTACTAGCTAGGTTAAATCTATATTGTTAAGAGTGATGTGTAAAACTAACTAAAACAGGTAAGTAATACTAAATCGCTAATCTTGATTTAACCAAACCAAATTCCATGTTCCCCATGATTTTCTTGTAACTTTCAAGAAACAAGGGGATTAGAGCATAGAAAAGGCAAGTGACAAGAAGAACTGAAGTAGACATGTTATAAGAAAAAGAACAGAATTTCATAAAAACATAAAATAAGAATAAAAATGAGAACTTGAAGGTAATGTAATTAACTAAGTAAGCAAAGCACCTGTAGTATTTTGACACATGGACATCAAAGGCACACCCAAAGAATCAGAGCTACGAACTCTCTTCATTATTGCAAGTTTCTTGAAAGTTCACTATTTTTTTGGTTTTCAGTGGGAAAAATTGTATAGAAAGTGAGAGAAGAGAGCTAAAAAAGGAAGAGCAATGTAAAGAGCAAGCAAGCTTTAACTTTTTCTTGTCACTTATATTATTCACTTATAAAAAGACATGACAAGAAAAACTTGCACCACCAAAACCAACCAAAATGACACAGATTTTGGTGAATTTAGAGAAATTGTACAAATCCTCCTTATCTCCATTGGGTACAAATACATAGTTCTCCTTTTTAATTAATTCCTCCACTTCTGAGCCCATCATAAGAAGTACAAGCAAAACTAAGAAGTTAAAAACAATACTAACAAGAAGCCTAATAAAACAAAATCATGCAAAATCCAAACTTTCATTATTTCTCAATTAACTTTAGAAGACAATGGTCTAAAGGAAAAGTTGAGGGGAGAGACAGAGTGGATGAAGAAGAAATAGAGAGATCAATTCACAACACAGCTGGCCTAGCTCATTTTTTTCTCTCTTTAAATAAAACCAAATCTGGGGTCAGATGTAGGGTTAGGATCTGACTGGGGTTAGGTGTACACACATTTGTATTTTTTGGCAAATGAAATGAGCTTTAAATTCAGTGCAAATGCAACTTGATTTGTGATACAGGCTTTAACCCCAGTAAACTTGACTTTTTCATAGGAAATCTTTTTCACTGAGATCAAAATTGCACCATGTAAAAGTTACTGTGCAGAAGACAGACTTATCATTATTTTTCCGGAAAAAGGGCAAAAAATATCCTTCAACTATCTAAAATAGCTCAAAAATGTCCTTTATTTATTTTTTGTACAAAAAATATCCCTACCGTCGATATTTTGGACCACAAATGTCCTTAAGCTGTTAGTCTTGTCATTGAAGGTGATATGACAGTCCAACTGGTTAGATTTACTTACATGACCATCCACCTAAGTAATCCAACATGGCAAAATTATTTTTTCGGAAAAAATTATTTTTCCGGATTTTTAAAAAAAATACAAAATCAACACTTATTCCGAAAAAAGTAAAAAAACTCTAGAAAATGTATTGTCCGAAAAAATAATTTTTCGGAAAAAATATTTTTCCGGATTTAAAAAAAAAATACAAAATCAATACTTATTCAGAAAAAAGTAAAAACAATTCCGGAAAAATATAGAAAATAATTTTTCCGAAATTTTTTTATTTTTTTCGGAATAAGTGTTGATTTTGTGGTCCAAATGCCCTTAAACCGTTATATATTTTTTCGAAAAAATTATTTATTTCGGAAATTTTTATTAAAATACAAACACTTATTCCGAAAAATGTAAAAAATTCCCCAAAAAATTATTTATTTCGAAAATTTTTATTAAAATACAAAATCAACACTTATTCCGAAAAAAGAATTTGAGATAGTTTAAGGGCATTTTTAGCCCTTTTCCCTTATTTTTCCGATTTTTATGAGCTGGAAAAATTAACAACAAATTCTTGCTTCTCACTCTTAAAATGACGGCCCTCACGTTCAAAGACTCGCTTACGACTCGTTTTGGATGAGAGATATAGGAATAATTAATCACCCGAGTAAATTTAATAAAAGACAAGAGTGGATTGTTCTAGTGGTGAGCACCTTCCACTTACAAGAGGTTGTGAGTTCGAGTCATCCCAAGAGCCGAGAGTCTATCGGAAACAGGCTCTCTACCCCAGGGTAGGAGTAAAGTCTGCGTACACACTACCCTCCCTAGATTTCACTAGTGGGATTATATTGGGTTGTTGTTGTTGTTGTTGACTAAATTTAAGAAAAGTTTATCTAATGTTTGGTTGATATTAGTTATCTCGAGATTATAATATTTTTTTTATCCCAATGGAAAGGTGGAATAATTAATCCCGAGATAATTAATTCTGAAATAACTTCTTTTCAATCAAATTATATTTAGAAAAAAAAATCCTAGTGTTGTATCCAAACACTAACAAGGAAAAATAAAAACAAAATCAACACAAAAAGAAAAGAAAAACAAAACCACTTTCTAGTCCAAATCCTTTTTTTTCAGCACACTGGTTTTTGGATAATGGATTCACATGTTTTTATGAGAGAGATAGAAGAGAATACCGGCTTGACTTATTTTGGGTGGCTAGGCTGGAGCCGAGTTAATTGAACATATCCCATTTTATTTCCTCGGCGCGGTCGGTGCGATTAATTGAAAGATGAATTCTGTAAGTCGAAGCTCACTAAAGAGAAAAATGGGATGAAGTGGCGTAACGAACAAACGAATAAATTATTATAATAAGGGATGTTATTTTTTTTTATTTATACCCAATAATTATCGTTCTATACATATAGTTAACAAAATTCTGGACCGTCACTTGGGAAAGGGTATAAAAATTGCACGGACACCCTATTTGGTCACCCTATTTAACATATACCTACTTTTTAAAATTTGTTTAACTTGTACCCACTTTTTAAACGACTTCACGTCCTTTTCTCCTCTTTCTTCTTCTTCTTGGCTTTAAGTGCATGGAATCATTGGTTACACTTTAGACCTATTTGGCCTTAAGTGCATCTAAAGTGTAATTTTTCGTTTCAGACTTGTTTGCCTTAAGTGTAGAAAAATATTTGTTGTATTTCAGACTTTTTGACGTTAAGTGCATTTGAAGTGCAATTTTTCACTTCAGACTTATTGGTCTTAAGTGCATGAAAACATTGGTTGCACTTAAGACCTATTTGGCCTTAAGTGCATCTGAAGTGCAATTCAGACTATTTTTTTAAATTTCAAACCCGATAAGTCTGAAATTGATCGTAAAATAGATAGACTTGCAAAAAATTTTACAAAGTGAGTATAGGTTTAATTGCGATCCCAAAATGGGGTATAAATGCAAAAGCGCCCGAAAGGGTGTGTCCGCCCCTTGGACCCATGTGCTTCTCAACTGAACTTAAATCGAATAATAGTTCCAGAAACAAAGCAAGCAAAGTTCTTCTAATCCAATGCTAAGGATTTCCTGATTTACTAGCTTTAATTATGAATATGCAATGACTTCGACGAACTTAGGTAAAACATGAATGTGCAATAATTTCCAAAAATTAACTTGGGTCAAGACACTCATAGTCGTCCCCCACCCAAATACGAAAATTTCATAACAAAAGGTACTACTCATAGTAAAGCACGTTTTGAAATGGTAAAAACGTCATTTCCTTTAGTGATTTTTCACTTTTATGAATGTATTATATGTCCAAATCCACTGACATTTTGAAGGGTTTTGCAGACTATCTTATTCGTACGAGAAGAAAATAAAGAACTTGGGCCTGCTAATTTAAGCATGTGCAGTAAAAATATTAACATGCTTGAAATCTGAATACACCTAATCTAATTTGGTCGCACTGACAACAATAAAGATATGGAAAAATGACTATCCAAATTAAATGCTAGCCATTGACATGCAGAAACTAGCTTAAATTTCGGATCCATCGTACATTTAAACAAAAGAAATATCTGTCTTGTCTACATCGATCAGTTTTTTAATTATTTTACAAACATTTATTGATTCAATAGTTTTCTCTAAATATAGTTGCTACATTATTATTTTAGAACATTTACTGATTCAAGAGTTTTCTCCAAATATAGTTTCTACTATATTAAAATAATGAACTTTCGACAATAGGGTTTTGCCTGCATGGGTGGATATAGTCTTTCGGATATGGGTTCAATTAAACTCATAATTTTTGACATGAATTATGAATTTATATGTAAAAACCTACTAAAATTTTAAGAAATATTAGATTTGAACACATAATTTTAACAGTATAATGATTGCAATATTAAAAATCTTAAAAGCGGAACCAATAAAATTTAAATTCTGAATTCGTCGTTGGTTTGCGTCTCTTTGGACTAGCTAGTCATCTGTTATCTGATTCTTGTAAGAGTAAACCTCAAGTAAGTACGATCAAGATCTGGATTTAAAACCCCAACTCCAACCAAGTTTTTTGTTGAATAAGTGGAGTACTGGGATTTTCAAGCTGTGGAATCTAAGAAATGTTTAAGTGGAATTTTGGTTGTCGTCTAGGAGTATTTCTGCCAGAAAATCACATCTAAATATTGACGGATCAAGATTTATATTTTATGCGTTTAATTTATATATTCTAGTCATTAAACTCATTACCCTTTTAAATTAAGGGTTTCTTTTATTCCCAAGTTTCGCATCATCGTCTCAACAGAAACCCCACAGAAAAAGGAGAAATGATGAGTTGTGTGCATGTGGTTTAATCATTCAACAATATAAAAAATTGAAGGAAAAAACAAAACATTCGAAAGAGCCTTTGTTTGGCTCTAGGAGGACATATAACGCAAAGCAAAAGCTGTCCATATGGGCTATGGCCACATCTCGGGAAGAAAATGAACATTTGATTAATAATATATACAATATTATTGGATATTTGATATCCGATTTAATTAATTGTTGCACTTCTTACTACGAATAATCATGTAGCATTTCATTAAACATATATGATTAGTCTTATCCACTTTATCATCCGACACCGCATTGTCAAAAAAATTTCATATATACATATAAATAATATTTTTTAAAAAATAATATGTGTATATACAAACGGCAGACACCACCCGCAAATAAAATGTTAAAGTAAACCTTAACTCGAACAGAAAATAAAGTCTTAGAAAATTGAAACTCAAGATCTTGCAGTATAAAACAAATCGTGACAATAAACTAAAACTATTTTGCAGAAAATTCTGCGTCTCTAAAATTAAGTTGATGATTTGAGCTAAATTCGTATTCCAAATTGACCTATAAGAAAATGTCACAATCAAACTTTTTTTGTTTGATATGTTAAATATAGTTGTAATAAAATTTATTAATTTTATTTGATATTTAAATAAACTATAAAATAATAACGAGAAATTTTCAGAAACCACTATTGTTTAGTAGCTATTAACTTCCTATAGCTACCATATACATAATTACTTCCTATAACTATTATTCAGTTATTACGGTAGTGTATTCGTTGTATTCGCGCTACTGTATTCATGAATACAGCAGCAAAAAGCACCTAAAAATCAGGGTACGCGTATGTATTCGCGTCATGTATTCATGAATACAACAACAAAAAACGCCTAAAATCAGGTCAGTCTAGCTGCACGCGCATGTATTCACATGTATTCGCGCTGCTGTAATCATGAATACAACAGCAAAAAGCACCTAAAATCAGGGCAGTCCAGCTGTACGCGCATGTATTCACATGTATTCGCATCATGTATTCATGAATACAGTAACGACAATCACCTTAAAAATAGGTATGTCCAGCTATCTAATAATGAAAATAATATCAATTAGCGTGATACACTCTTAATATAACTCAACAAAATTAATTCTAACATGCCGCATTATCAACCCAATTAATTAGAATTTTTTAGTTGTATATAACTTTTATATCTAGTGTGTTTCAATTATTTTTTTTACTGTTGCATTCACTAGATTTAATGTTTGTATTTACTATATTCGCTA